TTAAATTTAGGAGTGAGAACTCAGAAGTGCTGTGTTGTGGGGGTTGTTTAGGAGCTCATGCAGAAAGACCAAATCCCTGATTTCCAATTGAAGAACAGTATGAGCACCCAGCCTCTGCCTTCCCCTAGCCTCCTTCTCTCATTTATTTGTTGCTAGTGTCATGTACTCATTGTTAGAGGAAAAAAAAGAAATACAAAAATGAGAAGTCTGATACAACAAGCAGTGCTAGTGATCAGGTTCACCAGAATGAAGTGTGGAGTGTCCCAATTGTTTTTTCTTTTAGGGAGGAGTGTGTTCTCAATGCATGTCCAGTGTTCATCCTTGAGAAACTGCTCTGAACTACCCAGAGACACAGCTCGATTCCTCTGAATTGCACCCATTTAAATGTCTTCACCGATAAGGGAGGACTTACAAGGAAGTGAAACAGGGAAAACCAACTATCATATGGCTTTGTTCTAGACTATGTGTGGTACTGAGCTTTACTGTGTGGTTAATGGACAGCATTTAATTATTTCAGGCTCGTCGTTCCCAATAAGGGCTATTCGTCATTAGATCAGAGTCCAGATGAAAAGCCACTGGTAGCCCTGGATACAGACAGGTATGCAAAGGATTAATAAGATTTTATATATATATATATATATATATACACACATACACATATATAGGACTCCCTGAAACAATGCCTCAGCCTTGGCCATATTGATCATCATCATTGGTCTACCCTGGCCTCCAATCGGGAGGCCTGGAGACACACTATTGTGGTGCTGCTTCCTTTGAGAACACATGCAGGATCACTCTCGAGGAGAAAAGACAACGCAGAAAGAATCGCGTCTTGTCAATATCACCTAGGGAGTCTTTCTGCTGTGCCTTCTGCAACCAGACTTGTCTATCTCGCATTGGCCTTTTTAGCCATCAGAGCGCTTGCAGCAAGTGTGGGTAGAGCCCTTCTCAAATCTTCGTTCGCGAAGCCTAGCCATGATGATGACACATATATTATAGTGCAAGCAAGTTTTCATGCCATAGTGTAGCACTGAAGCTAATTCCTGCTGAAACTGCTCTTGCAGGCCACTCACACTCTTCCTTGCTGTGCCCTTCAGCATATGCCATAACAAGTCTGTGTGTGTAAACAAGTAGAAAAGAGATGTTGAGTAAAGAGTACTTTGATGGAAAGGTCTCAGGGTCACAGATGAAAGTTGCTCTCCAGACTCCCTTGATGTAATTTCTCTGTGGATGAAGTACAGCTTCATGGCACAAGAAAGATATGGCTAACCAGGGAATACAGGTCTCTCTAACTGTTATTTCCTTCTTTGCTGTATATTGTCATTCCCTGCAGTGATGATGACTTTGACATGTCCAGATATTCCTCCTCAGGATACTCATCAGCTGAGGTGAGTTATACTCTTTCCTGCCATCCTTGCCATGAATGCTAATAGTCGAGCAGCCAGAAACAACTTAGAGGGGCCTTGTGCTGCCAGAAACAGTTCCACAAGGAATTTACCAATGGTGTAGACTCTGTGAGCCTGGAAGGGACCATGGCAGAAACTGTGTCATGTTTCTGTCTTTTCCAGTGATCCAGTTGGCTCCGTCCCCACACTTCCATGGCACAGACACAGATCTGCCCATCGTCTGTTTTCACAAATACCTTTGACTTCACTCAAGCTTTTCCCAGTTCTGCTCAGTCGTGCAGTGTTGGCTCGTGGTGCAAATGCATCAACTTGTCTGTCATGGCAGTTCAGCAACTGTATGCTTGCCAAGGACACAAATAAAGGATCTGAGGGTGTGCTATGATTTCCAGTTCTTGGGGGGGTCAGGGTCACCCAGTGCATGTTTACTTGAAGCACCAGAAATTCTAGGGAGGACTTGCAGATATGAACTCTTGCCCTTTCAAAGAGAAAAGGCAGGGAAGCTCAGGCTTGTTAATCTCTTTGCATTCTTTCTGAATATATTCCCAAGATCTCTTGTGAATTAGTTGTTCAGACTGCAGCTACTGCTTCTGCAGGATCTGATTTTGCATCCAGGATGCTGAACAGCCATTATGCACACAAGCTACTGGGAACTCTTCCCCTTTGTATCTCTTCCTTGGGAAAAATACTTCTGAAACACTGAGAAACAGCCAAGAGCAGGAACCAGATCATATGATCTGGGTCATCTCTGGGCCCTGATGAAGTGTTGTTCATCCAGATCTGGGTAGGCAGCACTTGACTTTGAGATTATAAAAAACCAAGAAGCTTTAGCACCTTTCAACTGCAATAGTGCCCCAGACTGAAAGGAGGGACTGGGTACCTACCAGACAGTTTATTATCATTATTATTACCTTACTTCAAATGAGGACTCATCTTCATGGAAAGATTATTCAATAATAAAATACTGTATTGACTTGCTACTCTGGAATATCTCACTCTAGATATTCCTATTGTGAAAGAAGTTTAAACAACAGAAGGCAGCCCTCACCTGTGGTCACAAACTGGGAGTCTTTCATTGATGAGACAGCTGCTAATGACAGGGAAATATATTCTAGAATAAGGGACTTCTTTCCTCTTTCAATCATCATCAGAAGTCTCAAGTGTTTGACTGTTTGTCTCTTTGTCTGTAGCAGATCAATCAAGACTTGAATATCCAGCTGCTAAAGGATGGGTACCGGTTAGATGAGATCCCAGATGATGAGGACCTCGACCTAATCCCCCCTAAATCGGTCAACCCTACATGCATGTGTTGCCAAGCCACGTCCTCCACCACCTGTCACATCCAGTAGTGAGGCTGGCAGGCTATGATCAGTGCTTTCCACTATAACTGTAAAACTTAACAGCCATTGCTTCCTCCTATGGTAGGACATGCACCTCTTTGTGTTCGTGGAGCCAGGAGAAACCAAAAAAATAATTTTATAATTGGTTAATAAGTTATTTTAAACTATGGTTAAACAAAAGAGAAGTTGCTCAAAGTGCCAGGCAGTGCCTGGCAGAACTGACTGGTCTGGAAAACAAGCACAGGAGGGTCCAGAGATGCCTCCTTGGTTTGTTTAGGCACTGGAGATGTTTTGTAAGGTGTCTATTCCAGAATGGGAAGGGTCAGATGGAGCTGTAGTTACTGCTGCCCACTGAAACCAATCCATCTACAAGATTAGGGGTGAGTCTGAGGTGTCAGGGGGTTTTACATGTGGGAGAAGGTCAGTTCTTAATTGATTCACTAAACCTGATTCATTTGCATAACCATAATTATACCATAGCTGGGACACAGAAATAGAAATAGAGCAGGGCATCCTTTCTTATGGGAAGGCTAGCCAGGACTAGCATGACACAATTCATTCACTTGTGAAGAGGACAAATAGGTGACATTTCACTGTGAGTCAGTACTAGTTAGAGCTGTTGTGTCACATATCCAATGCAATCTATCCTTAGCTCCACATTAAATTATCACCAAACACATCAGATTCAATCTGCAGTCTATCCATGCTCTTCAGGGATTTAGTCCTTACCTGAGAATACCATACTCCTGAGTTCAGTCCAGTCATGTATACTGATTTCAGCCTATACTTCATTCTTGTGAGACCCATCTGCTTTCAGAAATCTTAAAGTTTGTTTAGCTAAGACACAAGACAAAATTGGAACTGTTCAGTCTGAACTTCAGTGCCAGAAAAGCTAATTGAAGAAAGCACATTTTTACAGAGCTTGGCTGTTGATATTCTCTTGACACTGCATCTCTTGGTGCCCATGGGAGAGATTTGTTAACGCTGAAGGTGTCTCTGTGGTGGTGTCAGACTTTAGGGGGGTTCAGCAACAGCAGGATTATGAACAGCTTCATCTTAAAAAAAAAACCCAAAAAACCCATGAGAGGAATCTACTGTTTATCCCATCTCTGCCCACTTGTGAACCAGACTTGGTCAGTGTTGGAGATGTCCCACAGCAGAAGCAGATGCATTCATTTGGCATTTCATTAGGTGGCTGGACTGAATTGCCAGTTCACCAGCAGATTGTTTTGAATGCAAAATTATTTCTGGAATTAGAAACATGTCATGTCCCTGGCAGGGACTGCTGGCTTCAGCATACACAGGACTGGGTGACAGATGGGCTGGCATTTCTCTCAGAGATTAAATCTTTTGCCACAGGCACAACTGTGTGTCTTCCTGCTCTGACAGGAGGAAGGTCCACCTGCCTTGCATCAGTCCTTGCTTTGGAGCCTGGGAAAAGGAGAAAGCAAGGGCAATTCTGAGCTTTCCATCAGAATTCCTCTGAGTCGCAAGACAGAGCCTGAGCTCCACCCCAAAGGACAGATCTCCATCTGAAATCTTCATGTAGTGAAATGAGTCTTTAACAAGTCCTCTTCATGATTAGGAGGACACAACATTATGTCTTTACTCTGTGCAGTGCAAGGCACACAGGACTCCTGGGCTTTATTATTCACTAGCTGGACGTGGGCAACCATTAAAGCTATGTTTGCCCCCCTTCCCTAAAACAGGGCACTGCCACCCTGGCTCCAGGCCACAGAAAGAGGACTTGAGTGGTGCTGTTTAATGAGCATCCCTGCTTCCTCATGCAGAAGTGCTGGTTAACTTGACAGCTCTTCTAGGAAAAGAGTGTTTCTCAATTGAATTCCTCTCCCCTTCTCATTGCCTGGTAATGCTGAGAGGGAATATATCCAAAATGTCCCTAAAGAAGCACAAAGCATCAGGTCCCCAAGTCTTCGCTTCTTTGTGTGCCTGATTTCCTCTCCAGTGCTAGCTCAGGTGTGAGGTTAGCAACTTGGGGGGGGGGGGAGGAGGAAGAGCTCTAACAACACTGTGTAAGGAGAAAAGATAAAAGGGAAAAAGCATTCTTTAAGGAGTCTTTTTTTAAAATGGAGAATGTAGTCATAACTTAACATAAACCCCATGGTCAAACCAAATCCTATAGGACACGACTAAGTCTCTTTAAATGTTCACTCTTCTAAAGCAGGACTTTTCAGTTCAGAATTGGTACCATGCAACACCTTCATCTCATTTATCCTTCTGGGTCAGCCTCTGTGTCTTCCAGATGGGCTGCACATGCTCAGTCTTTCCCACAGCCCTTGCTCAGGAACTCAGAGCATTTTAGTGTGCCTGCTAGAGTAACGAGGCATCTGTTTACCTGCATCAGCTTTGGGAGACTGCAGATCCCACAGGTATCCATCACGCTGCTATCATGTTCAGTCAAAGACAGAAAGAAGCTTGCTGAGACTGTATCTCCCAGGGCTAACACCTCCCCTCTTGAAGAACAGACCTTCCGGGATAATCACTGCCTCATGGCACCACGACCAAGTCCTTTTATTGCCCCTATTGCTGTTTTTTGCCTGCCATATGCTCTGAGGCATTCCCCAAACCTGCAACTGCCCTCAGCCCTTTGCATTGTGTGATGTGCAGCTGCTTCCAGAACAACACTTTAGGGTCCCTGGGAAAGAGGGAGATGAACTTAAATGTTAACTACACCCAGTGCTTCCTCTAAATACAGACCAAAGCACAAGCCAAGGTTTTTTCACTGCACACAGAAGGAGTTGGTTGCACAAATAGCTGGTTTGGTATGACAGTACGGGACCATAAAATGGCAATTTTTTGGCTTCTCCTGTCTACGCTTTGTGTTGATATATTTTATTAGGAGAATAAAGTATAAAAGGTGGGGAAAAGTAGTTACCTGTATAGGGTCATTATCAGGAAGGCTGAATGGATTAAGGCAATGCACATGTGGCTATTTATTGAACACACACAGAATCACAGAATCAATTAGGTTGGAAAAGACCTCTGAGATCATCAAGTCCAACCTATGACTGAACACCACTATGTCAACTAGACCATGGCAGTAAGTGCCACGTCCAGTCTTTCCTTGAACACTTCCAGGGACAGTGACTCCACCATCTCCATTGGCAGCCCATTCCACTATCTAATCACCCTTTCTGTGAAAAAATCCTTTCTAATGTCCAACCTAAAACTACCCTGGTGCAGCTTAAGACTATGTCCTCTTGTCCTATTGCTTGTTGCCTGGGAGAAGAGGATGACCCCCACCTGGTTACAACCTCCTTTCAGGTAGTTATAGAGAGTGATAAGGTCTCCCCTGAACCTCCCTTTCTCCAGGCTAAACAACCCCAGCTCCCTCAGCTACTCTTCATAGGACATGCACTCCAGACCCTTCACCAGCTTCGTTGCCCTTCTCTGGACATGCTCCAGCACCTCAATGTCCTTCCTGAATTGAGGAGCCCAGAACTGGACACAGTACTTGAGGTGTGGCTTCACCAGTGCAGAGTACAGGGGAAGAATCACTTCCCTAGTTCTGCTGGTCATGCTATTTCTGATACAAAACGGGCACGTGTCCCTTTTCTGGGTTAAAGGTGGCCCATCCATCTGTCTTAGATGGTACTAATATGAATGAGATCCCATCAACAGGATTCCCACCGTGTTAAACTCATGTTCAGTAAAAATTTAGAGTCAAATTTGGTAAGGAAGAGGTTACTGTAGATCATCACCCTCTTTAGGGTCTGTATATGTCTCCACCCACTCAATACCTTCTGGGTTGCAACCAGCACAGAGCCCCATGGCAGCAGCACACACTTGCCCCTGACCTGTAAGGCAACATAAGCCCAACCTGCGGGGGTCCCATCAGTCTCAACAGAACTACCCCCCAGGCTGCTGTCAGACTTTACCCAGCTTAACCAACTTGTGTGTCAAGGCTCAGTCATAGAAAATTGAATACTAACCCTTTTGAATCATAGTCCCTTAAGCAGGTTATGACCATAGGGCATGTTTGTTGGTTTTTTATGGAATATGATTGATGGTCTGGTGGTATGTATTAACTGCAGATTGGGCTGACTCTCCCTGCTGGTCTCATGTTGAGACCTTTGTTTTGGCCAGATTTTCCTTGTGCCCTTGTTGGAGGTTATGCTGTGGTGACTTCCCAGGTGTATAGATACATGGCCATTCTGGCACTGCTCTCCTTAAACCAGTCTCTGCTGCCATGGCCCAGAGAAAGCAAAAGCAAAGAGCATGAACCCTGGCTGTCACAACATTATAAAGCTGTAAAATCTCCAGAGCTGCTGGGCACTCTCCTAACTGCAGTTTATTTGCAATGAAGCAAATCATTTCTTGTTCCAGTCTTTGCAACAAACCAGATGATCTTCTCAGGCCTTATTTTCAGTCCAAAGTTGTACAGAATGCCAAGGGGAGAAGCACCAGAGTATGTAAAGTCGCACCACTATCCACCTAAATTACCGTGCAAATAGGATAGCTTCCTTATATTGATGCTGGTGCTTCCACAAAAGGAATTTGTGTTTGATGCCTCTAAAGCCAGACTGGCTTTTTGTTAGGATTTCATGTAATTTTAGTCACCAAATTACCCAAGTTTAAGCAAATCTTTTCCTTTTATCAGATGTTAATTTTGCCCTTTAATGTGAGCTGACTGTGGACTCTGGGGTCTCAGCACTCAAGTCTATGTCTGCAGTCAGTCTGCAAACTCTCTATTTCCAGATATTGGTGTGAGGGGGAATATCCTCCTAGTGTTGAAGAAGGTCACTAGGATGGTCTAGTCTGTTTTATAATAACCTTTGGCTGAAAGGAAGATGATGTCCAGGTGACCATCCCTAAAGGCTCATTTGATGTCTTACCAAACATATCTTGAAGCCAATACTTGGAAGAGCCACTGGATCATATCTGACATTGATGCATGTCTATCCCCAACATGTATGCTTGGCCATTGGTCTTGCTGTTCTTTTCTGGCTCTCTTGCCTGCAAATGCCTTGCAACTGCAAAAGCAAACAGCCAAGCCTGCTGCATGGATTTCAAAACAGACTTCAGGATGCTTTGCTCCCCCACAGACAGGATGGACTCAACTGCTTCTGGTTTGGCTCTCTGGCTTCTTCCTCAAAAGGAGGCACCTGCTCTGCTCAGCTGTATGCTGGCTGACACATTGGTCTGCAATCCTGAGCAGAATCTTCTTCTCTCCATGCAGTCTGTCCTTAGGTTGGCCTGCAAACTGTACAATGGCATGCAGGAGGCTTGAAAATTACAGTGCCCTGTATGTGACTCAACATGAAGATGCTTTTGAAGAAAGGAAGGACCCAGATTAGCACCAGATGGAATGACAGGAAAAGAAAAACAAGCAGTAACTAGAAAGGTTGCCAAGGATGCCATGTTCTCCTAGAGGTAAAAAACACCTTAAAATGAACACTTTCCCATGCCTTCCCCTTAGGCTCAACCTAGCCAAGATTGCCCTGTGGCACTGCCCATCTATGCAGATGGTTTGTTTTGAGACATGAGAAGTAGAAATAGGAGGGTCATGTGAAAAGTCAGCTCTGAAGGGTGGTAGAGGTCAAAACCAGGGTATATTTACATTGGCATACGCAGCCTGTGCTTGCTGAGCCAAGCAGCAGTCAGGTGACAAAGCCTGCTTCATCCTAGGTAAGAGTGACCATACCCTATATGAGCTTCAAAGGAGAATGGTAAAGTAAAAGAAAAGCCCAGGCAAAAGTGCCAGTTTATGAAGTCATTCTAAGTAAAAAATGGTGATACAGGGGGTAGGATTGCATTAAGGAGTGGAAGGTGCAAAAGAAGTCTCATTAAAATGTGAGTGTCTCAGATGCATTGCTGGAAACCAGCACAGTAGGCACCAAGAAAAGGCCACCAAAAGGCCATGCTGAGAAAAGTGCTATTACCTGCCTAGATATTTGTCCTCCCAGAGCTCAGTGCTGTGGGAGATCTGGGACCTAAGCACAGGTCCCAGGCCTGTCAGCCTGCATGCAAATAGACTGGAAACCCACAGCAGAGGCCGGGGAAGCTGGTCAGCTGTGTCCTTGCCGTGCTGGGGTAGAGTGCTGTGAGATGCACTGGTAGGGCTGTAGTTGTGCAGGGATAAAGATGAAGGATGAAGATTTTGCAGGGGAGAAAATTCAGAAAAAAAAATTTCTCCCTATTTTTGCCCATTTTTAACCATTTTTACTCCTTTTATAGGGATTATTGAACCTTCAGTTTAATAAAGAAGGAAACGAGCCAACATTAAATACCTTTCTGAAGGGTACCACTTGCATGCAGTTGGTCTGTGCCTAAGATCCACTTTCCAGACCTCAGTGTACATCCTGTAGTTGAGTCACCACGTCTGTTGTGGAAACTGGGATGGGAGAATCAGTGCTGAGCATCATGTCAAACAGCCACAGTTTTCCAAACTGAAGAAAAATCAGACCAGGAAGGGGGGAAATCAGCAGTGACAATAGAAGGATAGCTAGTTGTCACAGGTAAACTTTGGTATCCATGTCCAGTGGCAAGTTCTGGAATCACAAGCCTTGTTATTGCATACATCCTCCTTCCACTCCTCTTTTCTCAAAGCAGCTATCATCTTCCCCCTCCTTCGTGCACTAGCATCATAGCATCAGAGGCAGTTGCACCAAAAGGGACTC